TCACACAGAGGAGGGGCAAGATCTGTTCTTGATCATCCCAGAGGGCAGGACATGCAACAATGGGCTCACATTACAGGAAGCCAGATTTTGGTTGAATATCAGGAAAAACTTCCTAAATGTTAGAGCAGTACAGCAATGGAATCAATCACCTCAAGAGGTGGTAAGTGCTCCAACAATGGAGGCATTCAAGAGAAATTTAGACAACCACCTGGTAGATATCCTTTGATTTGTATTCCTGCACTGAACAAGTGGTTGGACTTGGTGGCCTTATATAACCCTTCCAATTTCATTATTCTACTGTATGATTCCATTGACAAAACAGCTCTACTTAAATTGAGACTAACCATTTGACCTAGGTCTCAAAACACAGAAATATAAGCTGATCAACAGCTTTTTAAAAATATCAATATAGTTATGTATGTCTCTATTAAAACCATGCCCGATTGACCCAGTAGGAGTTACTCTAGAATTGGTGTATGTAGCTACAGTCTAAAGCCATTCATCTGCATCCTCCTTTAAAGCTTGTTCGGATGGTTCAAAATTCCTCTACTGGGTAATCCTTCAAATGAACTTCAACCAGCACATCCAGGGGATGCCTAGTTGTCCATTCTAAAAGTTGCTGATGCATGGACAATGGTGACCCATCTGTCAAAATGGTTTAAAGATGGCACCTGAACATGTGGACAAAGGGTGAGGGTGGACAAAGTGTGGTTCTGGGGAAACATGTGGCTTCTAAAGAATCTTTTTGCAGCCCTCAGCAAGTCCCTGGACCCAGTTAGTTTTCTTCACAAAATTAATTGAAGGTGTTTACATATGTGTTGCACTTCCTTTCTTCCTATCCCTTGTCTCTCCTACCTCTGTTAATATCACAAAGAGCCTCTGGAAGATTTTGGCCATGGAATGCTCAGGGAATGGAATGCTGCTGGCCTGGCAATCTCAGAGTGGATCCAAATACAGATGTCTTCCACAAGGGTTTGGGCCTGGCATGGCACTGCCGAATCAAGTACAGTAGTTTATTCAGAAAGAGAACTTTAGAGGCAGAACATTGGTGCGATAGCCATCACAATTATATATTGAATTACACAGCTAAGACCCTTTCACCAAAACAGCCCCACCATCAATAAACATTCTCACCCCATCTCCCATCACTTCCAGCAGCCTGGGATGGCCGTGTGCCCTAGTCTACAGAGGACACTCCTCTATTTGAAATGCTGTTAGACTACAGTTATGTTTCAGTATCAGCCCAGTCCACATCCAGCTGAAAGATAATACACCCTAAGAAAAAGCAATGGCCTTGAAATTCAGCAGCATCAGGGCATAGGCTGACCAGGCAGGCAGCTGAGTCATCTAAGAACTCTTTCCCGCCATATGCATTTATATTTTAATTTTAACAAATATTTATACACCTGGTTGCATATATTGACGCAGGCAAATTTTATGCAACCACATGCCCCCTTGACGGTATATTTGCTCCACTTTTGATGATCCATAAGTGGCTACCCTCTTCCAAACTGTTTCTCTCCCCTCTTTTTTGAACAAGTCAGCCTGTTACTCATTCCTTGCCCTTCTTTCAATATCATGGACTTGACAAGAGAGAAAATTTAAAACTACAGTATTAAATTTTGCAAACATTATAAACAAAATACAAGCAAAGGCTGGAAAATAGGAGTCTGGCTAGAGACAAATTCAATTGCAATGCATTAGTTACAAACCTGGTCCTCATTCCCACTGTTTTTAAACAAAAATGCTTCTTTGCTGCTGGCAAGACTTGAGTTGGAAAGGAGATGGCTGCTGATCAGGTTGCACCCAATTGTTTTGGTGGACCCAACATTGTCAAGGACTGGACCAGGGAGATGAACAGAACAGTCAACTTTTTAATACCCTGTTTCCCCAAAAATAAGACCTAACCTGAAAATAAGCCCTAGTATGATTTTTCAGGGTGCTGTAATATAAGCCCTACACCAAAACTAGTACCCTTAGTTAAGTGAAACCCCGCCCTCTACCATTGTGCAGCAACCAGAAGAAGATGGCATGACTAGATGTGAATAAGTAGAATGTTGTGCATGAAAAGGTAGGGACGTGGTGGCGCTGTGGGCTAAACCACAGAAGCCTGTGCTGCAGGGTCAGAAGACCAGCAGTAGTAAGATCGAATCCACGCAACCGAGTGAGCTCCCGTCGCTTTGTCCCAGCTCCTTGCCAACCTAGCAGGTCGAAAGCATGCAAATGCGAGTAGATAAATAGGTACCACCTTGGTGGGAAGGTAAAACGGCGTTCCCTAGTCACGCTGGCCACATGTCAATGGAAACTGTCTTCGGACAAGCGCTGGCTCTATGGCTTGCAAACAGGATGAGCCCCCTAGAGTCGGACATGACTGGACCAAAAATGTCAAGGGGAACCTTTACCTTTACCTGTGCATGAAAAAAATTAAACATCTCCCGAAAATAAGCCCTAATGTGTTTTTTGGAGCAAAAATTAATATGACCCTTATTTTTGGGGAAACATGGTAGTTCCTGTGCTTCTGCCTTTGTCTAGTAGTTTGATTTGCAGAAATTAGCAAACAATCATGCATATTCATGCCAGGAAGGTGCGGAGAACCCAAATGGCTAGTTTCTAAATATAAGGCAATTTTAAAAATACAGGAGCAGGCCAAGTTGAAAATCACACACCCCTTCAATTAAGAAAAATCACTGCCCATCCCTAAACATGCCTGCTGGTACCTATCACCCAGCAGGTGAAGCAGAGGTAAGGAAGCTGTGATGCTTTTGGACTCCCGCAGCCCCAGCCCCCGTGTCCCATGATCAGGGATGATGGACTGTGATGTGCCTGATGCTTTTGGACTCCTGCAGCCCCCGCCCCCGTGTCCCATGATCAGGGATGATGGGAATTGTGGTCCAACAAATTGATGGCCATCCTTCCCCCAGACATGGGTAGAAAGCTCTTGCTGGGACTCATCAAAGGGGATAGTATTCTGTGAGATAACTGGGTATCGGTCACCTCTCATATTCCACACACATATACACACAAGCAGAGCTTGTCAAGTCTTGTGCGTTGGGGATCCACCTCCCATGAAAATAAGTCTCCCGGGGCGCCAGTCCTTCCAGGGTGGAAGTGGCAAGGGAGAGAATGTCAGGCAATCATCGTGAACGAGCAGTTAAGCAAAGAGGCTAGCAGAAAAGGGTTAAACATTCCCAGCAGCGAGCCTGACAACTTATGGTAGATAAGGGTGCATTCTAGTGGCAAAAGCGATGCAATGCAAGCGTCGTGAAGCCCGGAAAGACAGCGAGAGTCAGGCGGACGGGGACCGCGGGGAGGGCTGCGCTATCTGCTTGGGACTCCCGCACCAAAATGACAGCTTGCCTGCTGTCCTTCCCCCCCCCCCCC